CCACAAGGAGCAGTAATTCCGCTTGCAAACACAAACAAGCAAAAAGCGCTTGAATTGATAAAGCGAGCGCAGCTCTGAGGGCATCCATGCTGTCGGCTAGTGTAAACACAGGTCGCACACGTGATGTCAGCATTTTTTTGTTGCGGAAAGTGACGTTGCGGGTCTTAAAAGTCCGGTTTTGTCCGTCCACACGCAGACACCCAAAACGGAGAAAACGCAGATCTTCACTTTGGCCGGAGTTTTTAAAAAGATCCGTTTTCGTGTGAAAAAACTCCGTTTTTGTGTGGATGACAGGCCAAAACGTAGAAAAATATCTACGTTTTGGCAGATCCCCGGCTACGTGTGGACAGGGCCTTAGACACAGTGGCTCCTGTCAAGCAGATTGTTTTATCTAACAGACGGAAATGTCCTTGGTTTATTCAAAATATTTGCACTTTCAGAAGGACATGCCGCAGAGTCAAGAGGCATGGCAGCTAGATTAGAAAGTCACAGGCTGAACTTGAAAGAACTGATAACATCTTTGGATAACATGGTGGAAAAATCCAGGGCCACTTACTTTGCTCAGCTGATTACTTCAAATAAAAATAACTCTTAAATTTTGTTTGACACCATAAACCTGGTTGTTTCACTTCACATACCTCTTATGCCTGTTTACTCAAGGTCTGACTAACAATTTTCTAGCATTCTTTGAGAATAAAATCAGAAATATCAAGTCAAGTTTTTCACACCCATCCACTTCTTACTCTCTTTTCCAACTACCTTCCTCCTAATCATGGTCCTTCTTTGCGCCAGTAAATTTCCAGGACATTTGTCTCATTCAGAAACACATGAAATGCACCTCATGTCTACGTTGCTTCTAAAGATGTTTGACCAAATTGGCCCATGAATTGTGGATTTTATAATTCTCTGTCTCCATTATGGCTCTGTACCATCTGTTTTCAAAATGCTGTTGTTGAACCTATCCTTGAAAACCCCCTTTGGACTCCTCTTAGCCTAAAAATTACAGGCCCGTTTCTAAATTTTTCTTTATCTCTAAAATATTGGAAAAAGTTGTGGCAGATCAACTGATTACTTTTCTGGAACTGCACAACGGTTTTGACAAATTCCAATCTGGTTTTTGTAAAAAGCATTCAACAGAAACAGCTTTGCTTAAAGTTTCCAGTGACATCATGATGGCTGCTGACAACGGGGAATTGACAGTGTTAGTGCTGTTAGATTTTTCTGCAGCTTTTGACTCTGTTGATCACAACACATTAATTAACAGACTTCATGACTCAGTGGGGATCTCTGGAACTGTTCTAGACTGGTTTAGACTGGTTTCTAACAGAAGCTCTAGTGTCTGTGTAAACCTCTGTATAAATGTCTGATTCTACTAATCTGTTCTGTGGGACCCCCCAAGGCTCTGTTTTGGGTCCACTCTTGTTTCTACTATATATACAACCTATTGGACAGATAATTGATTATTTCCATAGTGTCTCCTATCACCTGTATGCAGATGGTCTTTAGCTGTACTGCTCCTTCAAGGATTCGGAGTTCTATAAATTGTCTGAACTACTAGAGGGTGTGTGCGAATCCACGGGAAGGATGCTTGTAAGAGTGCGATGACGTCACAGCGCAGTGACGAGTACTGTCTGAATTCCAAGAATACTCATTCTCGCGTCCTCAAACGCGTCCTTACTCTGCCCACATTTCGAGGACGGGTCTGTTGTATCCTCACAGAACAAGACTATCCCAGCATACTTTGCGCGCTGGCTGTGGATTTTCAACAGGGAGAGAAAATGGGGAGAGCTACGACGTTTTAAACGTAAGTTTGTTAAAAACGAGCCGTATAAACCTAAAAAGCTTAAAGCGGTTCAGTTTGTAGACATTTTTCGTTTGTATATTTGTTTTTTAAATGACATGTTAGGCAGAAATCAGCCAGAACGAGTTTGTATCGCGGGTCCCAGTTATTCCCGTGTGTGTGTGTGTGTGTGTGTGTGTGTGCGTGTGTGTGTGTGTGTGTGTGTGTAGCAAATTAAACTTGTCATTTGTTTAAGGACAACGGAGCAAAGAAGCGTTTTTTATTGAGCTTAGAGGTGAAGAATGAAGCTGATTGCACACAACCACAGAAGTTCTTCTGTGAAAAGTAGTTTTACATTCAGGGATTTACACAGCTGACACGTTTTAATGAAGTAAAAAGTTTGAGTGAAGAATAAAAGTTTTATCTTCTCATATGGATGTAAAAATGTGTTTATTGCCTTTTTGTCACCTGTGGTCTGATTTTCTCTGTAGGACTGCAGGTGTCCAGGGTCAGGAGAGGCTTTACCTGGTGGTCCTCCTGGGAGAGAGGCCTTCTACTGTCATCATGTTAATGTTATTTAGCTGTTTGATATTTGAACACATTTATTAAAACAAATACTAACTGATAACTCTTTCTGGTCATTGATTTTATCACCAGTTTTATTATTACAGATGTTTTTGAACATGTTACATGAACAGAAAATGAAAAGATGGTAAGGAGACAAGATTATTTATAATAGGTTACACTTATTAACAGATCAAAACCAGAATGGACCAGTTTTGTACGGTTAAAGCAGGATTAACCTGAGTGACTCTTCCTGGATCATTTATTTAAACTGAGTGAGCAGGAAGTCTTTAACAGTGCAGCTGGATCTGCTGCAGGAGGATCCAGGCATGGATGGAGGGCTGGAGCAGACCCGTGGCTGGACGTTTCTGGCCAGAGGAACATCATACAGGACGGTCTGCAGAGAGCTTTGGGACGCTTCCTCTCACTGTCCACTCCATCGTCCATCTACAGGGCCTGCTGGGCTGGCTCAGACGACGGCTGTTACATCTCTGTGAATGACTTGCCTGTTAACACTAGTGGTGGTCTGCTGGTACCTCCTCCAGGACATGGCACCACTGACCTCCTCCACACACATCTTCCTCAGGCTCATCCTCCAGACCCACAACTTCACCAGCACCGATGCAGATGTGCAGCACAGTGCATGCTGACTTGTAATAGATTAAAAAAAGAGTTTTTTTAATAGAAAAATGTAAAACAAAACATATAACCTGCAGTACACTGGTTCTGTTCAGTTTAAAGAAAAGCAGTAGGGAATAGTTAAATAAAAACTACAGAGAATTTACATTTTAAGACAGATCTAATCATTATTAGGCTTAAGTTGAATAAACAAATGCACATTGAAAACACTCCAGTGCTATTTTATTAAAAAGCCTGTTTTTTGAAAACGTTTTACCCCCATTTGATGCAAAATAAGTTCTAAGGTCCAATTTACATTAGAAAACATCCTACTGCATTCAACATTTATAATGCATTTGGTTAATATTAATTACCTACATGATAATACTGTAGAAATGTGTTGTGTATGTTTAACAAGCTCATTCTGTAGCTTAAAACATACATGAAACCATCTAAAGTTAACATGTAAGTCCTGAAAGCTTCTAGAATGAACAAAGTTACTTTACCTGAAAACGGTTGTGAACAAACGCTGCTGATGGACGTGAAGCTGCTGTAGCTCCTTAATATTCCTGCTCGATTTTCGCTAGCTTTAGCATTTTTCCTTTGCGTGTAACTGCTGCCATGGCTGTGATGGAACCTACAGGCCACCGTAGAGGTGAAGGCTAGACTGTCCGAATTCAGAGCCGCTGACTTCCGGTTTTAGCGGTCTTCAAGGCTGCGGCCTTGCTAGATTGGCGAGGACCCGTACTCGTAAGCATCCTTCCTGTGGATTCAGACACACCCAGAGTGTAGAAGATAACTTCCTTCAGTTAAACTCTGAAAAGATTGAATGCCTTATAATTGTCTCTGAGAACATGGTTCTCCTGATTAGTCAACAACTTGGTCATTTAAATTATACCGACTGAAGAATGGAACCATAATCAGCCACCTCCTCTACATGGATGACATAAGGCTGTATGACTAGAGCGAGTGAGACATCGACTCAGTGATCCACACCACCAGGATCTACAGCACTGATATTGGAATGTCATTTGGACATGAGAAGTGTGGTCAGATTGTGACGAAGAAAGGGAACGTAGTCCAAACAGAAGGGGTCTCACTCCCTGAAGGAACAATAACACACTGAGGAAAGTTACATTTACCTTGGTATCCCACAAGCAAATGGCAACCTTGATGAGGCTGCAAGGAAAGGAGCCACAGCAAAATACTTAAGAGTAGGGCAAGTCTTAAGAAATCAGCTCAATGGCAATAACAAGATCCGGGCAATAAACAAGTATGCTATCAATAATCAGACATCCTGCAGCAGTTGTAAGCTGGCCAAAGCAAGAAATACAAGCCACAGATGTTAAAACAAGGACACTCCTAAACATGCAAGGAGCGTTCCATCCCAAGTCCATCACCCTGAGACTGTACACTAGCTGTACGGAGGGAGGCCGAGGACTAGTGAGTGTGAAAGCCACTGTCTAGGATGAAACATCTAAGATCCATAAGTACATCAAGGACAAGGCCCCAACAGATGACATGCTCACTTAATGTCTGAGACAGTGGTGAACAGAGGAGGAGATGCTGGAAACACCATCATGGGAGGACAAAGCCTACATGGGATATACCACTGACAGAAAACTGAAGTGGCTCATATCAATAAATCATACCAATGACTATAAAAAACTGGTCTGAAGGACAGCACAGGAACAGGCCATGAATACCAGAGTAACAGAAGCCAAGATCTATCACACCAGACAAGACCCAAGATTTAGGCTTTGGAAAGAGACTCCTGAGATTATCCACCACATAACTGCAGGGTGTAAGATGCTGGCAGGGAAAGCATACATGGAACGTCACAACCAACTATCTGGAATAGTGTGCAGAGTGTGGACTGACCGCAAGCTTAACCGGTTAGCTGCTAGTAAATAATACTGTATCATAGGCCAAAATCATACCTGTTATATCTTAGACCGTTTATACCGTGCCTTACTCTCTATTACCAGGTGTGTAGTTCAGATATTAATAAATGATGTAATCATTGATGCCCCCCCAGGACTGTTAGAACTGATCCATGACAACATGACGGAATCCAGGAGAACCATTAACCTCCTACAGCGAATGAACATCTACCAGGAGGTGTTTCTCAGTGTTCTCTACAGGTTGTTGCCCATTCAGGTAACTACACACACTCTACTGTTACATCAGTTATTGCTACTGAATGTTTTTCTGGAAGTTCATTCATTCATTTTTTTGTTTATTGGATTAAAGCTACAATTCTGTCAAACAAATTAGTTTAAAACATTGTTTCATGCCTCTTAACAACATTCTAACATAGTATAGCTATAAAGGCATTTTGAAGATTAACAAAAAAGAAAAAACTAATGAAGTGGTTCTCTCGCATTTGTCTAAAAAGCTCAGCCAATAACACGCTCGGACCGAAACTAATGATTGGACCATTTGGCTTTTGATCTCACAGAACCACCAAACTTCACTGGGCTCTCCACTCATCACACACTCATATTTAGCAACAGAACACCACCGGTGTGAGAGGGTCTCTGCTCAATAATGTCAGAAGGAGAAACAGCCGGCTGCTACCACTTCAAATTTAAGACAAACCACCAGAGTCCCCCATAAACAACACCATTTGATGTCATGGACGACAAAAGACGTTTGAACCTAGAAAACGGTAACTGGTGTAATGCGGGTTAATGCAGGTGGATCACTGACTTCCTGACAGACCGTAGGCAGTGCGTGCAGCTGGGGAAGAATGTTTCCACCACTAAGACAATTGGCACAGGATCTCCACAGGGCTGTGTACTTTCTCCTCTGCTCTTCTCCCTGTACACAAACTGCTGCACCTCGAGCCATGACTCCGTTAAACTGATCAAGTTTGCAGATGACACCACCCTCATCGGGCTCATCTCTGACGGTGATGAGTCCGCCTACAGGAGGGAGGTGGAACGGCTGGTGTACTGGTGCAGCAGCAACAACCTGGAGCTCAATGCTCAGAAGACAGTGGAGATGATTGTGGACTTCAGGAAAGTCACAGCCCCATCTCTCCCCCTCATCCTGACGGACACCCCCATCTCCACTGTGGACTCCTTCCGCTTCCTCGGAACCACCATCACACAGGACCTTAGGTGGGAGCCATCCATCAGCTCCCTGATCAAAAAGGCCCAGCAGAGGATGTACTTTCTGCGGCAGTTGAAAAAGGCCAAGCTGCCTGCCCAGATGATGGTGCAGTTTTACACGGCCATCACTGAGTCCATCCTCACCTCCTCCATCACTGTGTGGTACGCTGGAGCCACGGTGAGGGACAAACATAGACTGCAGCGCATTGTGCGCTCTGCTGAGAAGGTGATTGGCTGCAGCCTTCCATCTCTCCAGGACCTGTACGTCTCCAGAACTCGGGGGCGTGCAGGTCGGACGGCAGCTGACCCTTCGCACCCGGGTCACAGACTTTTTGAGCCGCTTCCCTCAGGCAGGAGGTTACGGTCCATCCGGACCAGAACCTCCCGCCATAAGAACAGCTTCTTTCCATCTGCCGTTAGACTTGTGAACAGCTTATAAACACACAACCATGCTCGTCTTCTGTACTCGACACGACGTCACGTTATCAGCCATATTACCATTACCTGCCTTTTTTTATAGCTGAAAGTGTTATTCTAGTTTTTATTTATTTATTATATTTTATTCTATTTTTAATCTTATTATTCATGTTATATGTAGCACATTAGTACCGAAGCAAGTTCCTAGTTTGTGAATTGTTTGTTCACTGACAATGGCAATAAACCTATTCTGATTCTGATTCTGATTCTGATTTGGTATCAGGGGTCATGGCCCAGGGTTAAGAGCCGACAGGAGGGGTGACAATTTTGTGACCATGCTTGTGTTTAAAAAATAGCTCATTATTACAGCTTTAACACATCTTCTGAATGTGTTTTTGATTCATTTCAGTTTATTTATAAAGCGCCAAATCACGACAAGAGTCGATTCAAGGCACTTCACACAGTAAACATTCCAATACAGGCCAACATATATACCAAGTAGTATTGCTATGGCTACATTGTGATTTCTTAGGGTAAATATTCTATTTAGTAAGAAATACACTATTATCTTTATCCTTGTGAATCTATAATTAATTCGACAGGTAAACTAGTAGGGGCACATTCTATGTCAAAAAGAGTCAAATATTATTATCAGGAGATAATTCCAACTTACTATTGTCAACCATACACTTTGCTGTGTCTAATCAGGATGTGTGTGTGTGTGTGTGTGTGTGTGTGTGTGTTCCAGCCCTACCTGGAACCTGTGTATTTCTACATTTACACAGTGTTCTCACTCCAGGCCGTGTATGTGATAGGTCTGTACCTCACGGCGTGGCTCCTGTCTGGTTCCTGGCTCGCTGGGACACTAACTGGAGTCTGGTACATCCTCAACAGGTGAGGGCTGGCGGTTGTTCCTGTGTCATAATGAGAAGAGAGCAGGGATATCACCATTCCCAGATTTGAGATTATCATTTGAATCTCTTCACATTCCTCCAGCTTTTCATTTAGAACGCTTTTTAATTTCCACCAGTTGAGTTTACTGGACTGAAACTGATTTATGATAACTCTAACTTGCCGGGTCTGATTCAGAACTTTTAATTAAACAGATTACTTCTATGTCTCATTTTTGGTTCTTTTTAAAACACAGAAAAGGTTTTTCTTTACCTTGCTGATGTCTTGTTTGCGGCTGCAAATCCTCAGAGCTGACGCTGATGGTGGCGTCACTTCCTACTTCGTTTATCCGCGGGCAGCAGAGGACGTTGTCGCCCTCTGCTGCCCGATCTCCCCTCACCGATGATGCAGTCCTATGCGCGATCCAATGAGTAAACTCTATCGCCTCTGTTCATGGTCCCACATCCACGTCTCCTCATCTCGATAGCTTCCTTTATCCATCTTTTGTATTTCAGAGCATCAGCTCCGAGGATGTTTGAAGCCGCAAACGAAACGTCGGCAAGGTAAAGGAAAACCTTATCTGTGTTTAAAAAGAGAACCAAAAATGGAATTTGAAGACAAACACAGCAAGAATGCACAAAAGACTTTTATGTCTCGTTTTGGTTTTGACTGAATAAAAATTCTCTTTGCAACAATCCGTCTAGTCCTGCTGCGGCCGCTGGAATTCCACCATTAAAGATGGATGACAGACAGAAAACCTCCCCCCACCACTTCACCTCAACAATTTAGTTGCCCTAAAATCAGAGAGTTGTGGTTTTAATCACCTAAAGTTAAAAATCAAAATGCATTTAGGTGGTGAAGACAGAAAAACAGCAACAAAGAACTGAATGAAGTCTGTTAGTTTGTAAAGAGAGTGTTGATTATTAAGGAAGCCGATAGTTTAGAGTTTAAACGAGCTGCTGAACAGACGATCGCAGTTACACAGAATAATCAGAACTAATCCAGGTGAAATCTGTTGAGCCTTAAAGTCAAAACAAGCAACTATGCAGCAGGAGTATGTAGGACTCCTGCCCGAGCGATCCTAGCAGCTATGCTCTTTGGGGCCCCTGGCAGGACGGAGGGTGTGGCTGACCGGAGCTGCTATCTCAGTGATGCGGACCTGGATAAACTGACAAAAATGGACAGCTGGAACAAATTTCATCACCGACACCATCTAACAAACATTAGATTCAAAACTATATGAACGTAATTTGCCGTCGGCCTTACTTGAGTCGCCTTAATTTACCAGGAAACACGGCTGCTGCTCTGCTACCCACATGCTTGTAGTCACACTGCAGTTAAACAGTTTGCTAGGTTGCTTGCATTGCGTGCATTATCTCAGCTTTCTGGGTTTGTGCACAAACTAAAACTGTCAGATGGAAGGAAAACTCCTGTCACACACGTTTACAAGTGCGAGAACAGGTATCGGCCTGATTCTGGTATCGGCACAGGGCAGAACCTCTGCAGAGGTGGCATCGTATTTCAGAGTAGATTTTAAACTATGAGAGACATGTTTACACATGTTTACTGATCACTTTCTTCCAAAGTATACAAAAGTGAAGTCTAGTTTTTGTCCTTTAACCACCCACACATGGTGATTCACACCTTTGGTGCTTTAGACTTGTAATTTACACGTTTCCTGTGTTAACGTTTGCTCCTCTGCTCTCATCTCTTCTTTCAGAGTAGACACCACTCGTGTGGAGTTCACCATCTCCCTCAGAGAGAACTGGTCTTTGCCCTTCTTTGCGCTGCAGGTCGCAGCCATCACTTGTTACCTGCGACCACAGCTCGGCGCCCTACAGCAGGTATGGATAGACAAACCCACACCAGATCACAGCGGCTGGCCACGATGAGGCAAACCAGCTGATTACTAATCATGTTCTAGCTCAGGAAGGACAAGCAGCACAGAACATAGGGTCCAGTCTGGACTTACAAGTGTGTTTTCTCCTCTCAGAAGGTGATGGTGTGGTTGATGTACGTGACCACGTTCTGTTTCTGCCTGATGTGGCAGTTCAACCAGTTCATCCTACTGGTTCAAGCTCTGGTCATCTACAGCCTGGACTGTGCCGACCTCCTCACAACTACACAGGTATGTGGTGCAGCTTTCTGTGTTAATGCACTTCATCATTATTAATATTATTATTATTATTATTGTAGAAAATAATCTGTCTGAAAGTGCTTTGTTAGCAGCTTCACAGATCCCTGCTGGTTAGTGGTGTCTGGGGACAGACTGTAGACCATAATGCCACACTGTAGAAGTACTCACAAGGAAACGTTCAATATTAGATATAGAATAACAATTTTATGTAGAGACTGTAAAAGTTTAGCAGTAGAACGCTGAGCTTCAGTTGTTTAGATGCTTCCGGACTGCAGGAAGAACTTTTCCAGATTTTAAACATGTTGAAGACTGAAGAACTAAAGCCAGACACAGTTTAAACTAGACTCCATCTGCTGCCTGTGACAAAGAAAAAAACCCGTAAATATTGGGAATGAGTGTGTGTGTCTGCAGCGTAGGACTTGAACTTTATTGTGAAAAATCAGTAAGTAGAACAGAAATGTGTCCGGATGTTTCTGTGAGCCAGTCTGACAACACATTCACTTTTGTCCCGTGAGATATGGCTTAGGCGTTTCACCTTATCTCTAAGGGAGAGCCCAGACCCCCTGCTGTGTTGCATGTGTCCCACAGCTCATGACCATAGGTGAGGGTAGGAACGTAGACCGACCGGTAAATCGAGAGCTTCGCCTTCTGGCTCAGCTCTCTCTTCACCACGACAGACCGGTACAACGCCGCATCACTGCAGATGCAGCACCAATCCACCTATCCATCTCACGCTCCAGTTTTCCCTCACTCGTGAACAAGGCTCCGAGATACTTAAACTCCTCCACTTGGGGCAGGACCTCATCCCTGACCTGGAGAAGGCATTCTACCCTTTTCTGAATCAAGACCATGGTCTCAGATTTAGAGGAGCTGATTCTCGTCCCAGCTGCTTCACACTCAGCTGTAAACCGCTTCAGCAAAAGCCGGAGATCACGTTCTGATGAAGCTAATTGGACCACATCATCTGCAAAATGCAGAGATCTAGTCCTTAGGCCACCAAAACAGATCCCCTCCACACCTTGGCTGCACCTAGAAATCCTGTCCATAAAGGTTATGAACAGAATCGGTGACAAAGGGCAGCCTTGGCGGAGTCCAACTCTCACTGGGAACGAGCCCGGCTTACTTTTTATCCACATGAATAATTTCATCCCTGAACTGGGAGTTGGTTTTTACTCTGCATGAATGAAGCTCCAGTGCAGCAGATTTTAGAGCACTCATATTTAACACCGCCCCCTGCTGGCTGGTCTGTAAGTCTGTATCTGGTGCTAGGGAGAACGCTTTATTATGGTGTGTCCTCCTTAGGGCCAGAGTCTTCAGAGCAGTTAGATTGGTGCTTCATATATTTATCATTGTTTATGTATTACTAGAAATGTTCTGTTTGTTGTTTTTAAGCTAGTTGCAAACAATACATGCAAAAATGACTTTTTTTGTTAAAGTGATTCAAACTGTGAAAAATGAGTGTGAGATGTCACATCACTGATCGTAGTCCCTTCAGAGGACCTGGTTCTGGGCTTAACTGAGTTAAAGTAGTTCACATCACCTGCCTGCCTGAACCACACTGATTTGTTTTTGTCTAGGTTACGACTCTGTACCTTGTTCAGGTGAGCGGCCTGCTGACTGTCTGGCTCCTGCAGTTCTGTAACTCTATGATACTGGGATCACTGGTCCTCAGCTTCATCGTAGCTGCCCTCTTCATCAGACACTACCATGTAAGTGCTTGTGATTAGAGGCCGACTGATCTGGTTTTTTAACACCGATGCCGATTTTTAAAACATTTTGTTGCAGATGGCCGATATCTAAAACCGATTATAAAGGCCGACATATGCATGTACATACAGTGGGGCAAAAAAGTATTTAGTCAGCCACCGATTGTGCAAGTTCTCCCGCTTAAAATGATGACAGAGGTCAGTAATTTTCATCATAGGTACACTTCAACTGTGAGAGACAGAATGTGAAAAAAAATCCATGAATTCACATGGCAGGATTTTTAAAGAATTTATTTGTAAATCAGGATGGAAAATAAGTATTTGGTCACTTCAAACAAGGAAAATCTCTGGCTCTCACAGACCTGTAACGTCTTCTTTAAGAAGCTTTTCTGTCCTCCACTCGTTACCTGTATTAATGGCACCTGTTTGAACACATTATCTGTATAAAAGACACCTGTCCACAGCCTCAAACAGTCAGACTCCAAACTCCACTATGGCCAAGACCAAAGAGCTTTCGAAGGACACCAGGAAAAGAATTGTAGACCTGCACCAGACTGGGAAGAGTGAATCTACAATAGGCAAGCAGCTTGGTGTGAAAAAATCAACTGTGGGAGCAATTATCAGAATATGGAAGACATACAAGACCACTGATAATCTCCCTCAATCTGGGGCTCCACGCAAGATCTCATCCCGTGGGGTCAAAATGATCATGAGAGCGGTGTGCAAGAATCCCAGAACCACATGGGGGGACCTGGTGAATGACCTGCAGAGAGCTGGGACCACAGTAACAAAGGTCACCATCAGTAACACACTACAACGGCAGGGAATCAAATCCTGCAGTGCCAGACGTGTTCCGCTGCTGAAGCCAGTGCATGTCCAGGCCCGTCTGAAGTTTGCCAGAGAGCACATGGATGATACAGCAGAGGATTGGGAGAATGTCATGTGGTCAGATGAAACCAAAGTAGAACTTTTTGGTATAAACTCAACTCGTCGTGTTTGGAGGAAGAAGAATACTGAGTTGCATCCCAAGAACACCATACCTACTGTGAAGCATGTGGGTGGGAACATCATGCTTTTGGGCTGTTTTTCTGCTAAGGGGACAGGACGACTGATCCGTGTTAAGGACAGAATGAATGGGGCCATGTATCGTGAGATTCTGAGCCAAAACCTCCTTCCATCAGTGAGAGCATTGAAGATGAAACGTGGCTGGGTCTTCCAACACGACAATGATCCCAAGCACACCGCCCGGGCAACAAAGGAGTGGCTCCGTAAGAAGCATTTGAAAGTCCTGGAGTGGCCTAGCCAGTCTCCAGACCTCAGCCCCATAGAAAATCTGTGGAGGGAGTTGAAAGTCCGTGTTGCTCGGTGACAGCCCCAAAACATCACTGCTCTCGAGAAGATCTGCATGGAGGAATGGGCCAAAATATCAGCTACTGTGTGTGCAAACCTGGTAAAGACCTATAGTAATCGATTGACCTCTGTTATTGCCAACAAAGATTATGTTACAAAGTATTGAGTTGAATTTTTGTTATTGACCAAATACTTATTTTCCACCCTGATTTACAAATAAATTATTTAAAAATCCTGCCGTGTGAATTCATGGATTTTTTTTCACATTCTGTCTCTCACAGTTGAAGTGTACCTATGATGTAAATTACTGACCTCTGTCATCATTTTAACTTGCACAATCAGTGGCTGACTAAATACTTTTTTGCCCCACTATATATATATATATATATGTGTGTGTGTGTGTGTGTGTGTGTGTGTGTGTGTGTGTGTGTGTGTGTGTGTGTGTGTGTGTGTGTGTGTGTTTTAGCATCACATATATTGTGAAAGACAACTGAACACACTGTGTGCAATATAAATGAAAAAAAGTCAACCAATCTCTTGAACTTCAAATATAAATCAAACTCAAAACATAAAAAAAATGGTGTGTTGGGGTCCTTCGGGTCCTTTCTTCAGTCTAGTAGTGGCGGCAGTTGGCCACACAGGTGCCTGATTTTTAAATTTTTTTTATTGTCTTTTAAAAATCATTTTGACCGATGGCTGATGTAGAAAAAATTGAATATATCGGCCCTATATATCGGTCGGCCTCTACTTGTGATGCTTCATCAGTCTGGATCAGGACCAGGGTGACCTACAAAGGTTAATAAAACAAGGACCTGGGGCCTCATTTATAAAACTGTAGAGCATTCTCTCAAAACCTACTAAAGCTCGGCAAAAACAAATGTGCTTACGCCATTTCACAATTAGAAATGTGTTCAGGTAGTTTTAGATCACATGCCACCATAAATGGATGATGCATGTACATAAACCTGAGTTTGGAGTATCCAGATGTTTCCTGGGGGTGGGTTTACTGGGGGGGTCTGTGGCTGGGGGGCTGCTGCCCCACTCTGGAGGTGCTTGGGTTGCCTCGGGGGGGAGGACTACTGGCGGTTGTGAGTGGAGCCCCTTGGGGGGTCTTGGCAGTGGCCATGGGTTGCTGCCTGGCGGCTGCATCGCCCCTGTGTTGATCTGGGTGGGGGCCTGGGGGCTCGGGGTGTGGGGGCGGCCGGCCCCGTGTGGAGATCTGGGTGGGGCCTTGGGGATTGGGGAAGAAAAACCCAAAAAACAAAACAATGCCGTCAATTTGCCGTGACATCAGGGACACTTAGGTCATTTGTAAGTGGTCAGACCGTGGGGGTCAATGTGGTGCAATCGTGTCATTTTTATACAAGATGGCAGCATAAAAGAGGTATTGGGGCGGTCTCTGCGCTGCCACGGACTTCCGTTTATCTTGGATATAACTTGCTTTTACTGCGATTGAAGTTTTTTTAACAAGCAGCTCCTAAAGTTGTCCATCCCCATCAGTTCCTGTGCAGTCTCTGGGGAGCTGAGCTTCAGCTCTAACAGAGATGCTCGTGGAGCGCTGCGGCGCTCCAGTTTGCCGTCTCAGCTGATTTTGTTCAAAAAGCAAACCTTATTCTACTTTTTACTTTTATTTTCAATATATTTGCCGGCCGGAGCTCGACATCAACTCCGCCATGGCGCAAATAGCCGTTTATAAGACCGACCATTACAGCAATTTTACTACCAAGCGAGGCCGAACGAATGCCGCAAAATATTTTGCGGATTTGACGGCATGGCGTGTCTTGTAAAAAGGGCTACATATAGTAAAAACAGAGTTACCACTTCTAAATCATTTTGTTTTATTAAAAAAAAGAATTAATAAAATGACTTAAATCTGAGATTTAACCAAAGAGAAGCAGAATGAAATCTAACTGAAAGTGTGGGTGATTGCTTGTTACTGTGACAGTAGATGTCATGGCTGCAGGACGGTGTAAGGAGACAGCATGTATGTGGGGCAGGTATCAGGCTGTTGTTAAGGGAGCAGGGTTGAATAAAACGCTGCTCTAGAGGAATCTGCTCATTCTCCTTATTCCTAACCCCCAAGAGCCTTTGTGTATAGGACCTTCGTCTGGTTCAGCGTTGGTTGACATGGTGACCATAGATGGATGACACCATCTGTTGGCACCAATCCACATTTAATGGTCTTTTTTTAGAGATGTACACTATGTGGGAGCACCAGTTGTCACAGCTCAAACAGAACAATCCGTCTGCCTGCTGCAGTAGCGAGGTGGAGGATGATGTGAAAATGTGGCTAAAGCTAACATACAGTAGCATTTTAGCTACTTTCTTAATTCAGTCACATCCGCCGGCGAGGCAATGAACAATCCTAAAAGTTCTGAGGCTCATCAGTAGCTACGTTGTTAGTAAGGTGGGTGTGCTCAGTTGAAAGAGGGGGGACACAATCTTATTTGCCTAAAAGCTGAAGTAGAGCCGAGTCAGAGCCTTAACTCCCTCATCACCTAGCCTGGCTGTTATCTTCCATATCAGCTGAAATACAAACTGCAGGTTGTCCATGTGCTGCAGGTTAAGGCAGGTCTTTCAGCCAGGCTGCTGCCATCCTTTGTAAGATCATTTTATGGTAGGTTTAATGATCGTTTTCAACACATTTGATAATGCATAACGTTAACATTGAGCTCTGTTTAATCATTTGTCTTCTTGTTAAAAGCATTACTCAAATAAATTAAGTTTAGGACTAAAGTCTGTGTTAGTATTTCTGAGGTATTTCATTTCAGGTGGAGAATGCAGTCAGACAGGGGAAGACCAGGCCAGAGAAAGTGAAATGCATCTTCCAAACATCGCTCATTTAGCCACAAATGTAACTCTCTCTAGTTGTTGGTAGCTACAACAGCAAACAATGCAGCATGTTCGGGACCATGGGAGTACACTTTTCTAGGGCGAATAGTTTTTAAAACCCCTTTGAAATGTTCCAATAAACTGGTAGAAGCTACTAAACCTCACCCTGCAATCCGATGGCTGTGTGCTGCATCTGCTGTCTCAGCTGATCTTTGTCTGCATAATCGATTCTGCATGAGCTGGCCCAGGAAAAAGGTGATCGCAGAAGGTTTCTGTGTTGGGTTCATTTATGATACTTGATGGCATCACCTCCATGTGTTTGGAATGTGGGTGCTTCAGCTCATCACACTTTATCCTATAGCAAACGTTCTTCACCAGCCTGTTCAGAGAAACAAATCTCCAAATAAAAAGTTTAGCTTGTTCAGGGTATCCGCGGGTCCTTAAAAAGTCTTAAAAAGTCTTAAATTTGCTTTTCCAAATTTAAGGCCTTAAAAATCCTTAAAAATGACAAATAATCCATAAATACAGTTTCTAGAGGTCTTAAATTACCAAAGACCCAATAAACAAGATTATTTAATTTCAATTTTCATGAATTTCTAGTTAGTGTTCAACATTTTTTGTGTATGATGTTGGCGTAAGTGGAACCGTACACATTCAGTTGGTTGTGAAAGGGGGCATTTTTAGATGAGCACATTAGCTGGTTAAGCTAGTGGGAGATTGCGCCATGGGGATGTGCAACTTTTATGGTAACTGGATGGCTAATCCCACGTTCGCAATGGCTGGAAATTATAGTTTAAATTTAATTTTAGAAAGTAGCTTAAATTTGGTCCAATTGGCCTTAAAAAAGGTCTTAAAAAGTCTTAAATTTGGCTTCCTTAAACCTGCAGATACCCTGTTGTTGAAAAAGTTGCTGCTGATGACTTCATTTCATTGTTAACTTATATTTTTTTAAGCTTTTATTTGAAGAGTTATTTAAAATGTCTCTGCTTCTATCTCATATCTAGAAGTGTTAAACTGTGCTGACACAATCACAGAGATATTGATTATTTCTCTGTGCTCGATCAGTCTGGTCTGAAGACTGGAGGACTGCTGGTACGTCTGGGCAAAGTTCTGTTCCACAGTGCTGCGGTTCTTCTTCTCACCGTCATCATCAACTTTCTGACCAAGGTGCTTCTCCGCCTCACCCTTCACTCACCTTGACTCTCACTCCTCTTCTGTCTCGTTATTCTGTCTCCGCTCTCTCCGGTTTCCAGTTGCATCATCAGGGTATCCGCGGGGTCTTAAAAAGCCTTAAAAGTCTTGAATTTGATGAAAGGAAAATTAAGACCCTTAAAAGTCTTAAAAAGTCTTAAATTGATTTAGTAAAGTCTTAAATTTGGTTCGTATTGGTGGAATTTTGAAATACGTTCGTCTCATACTTGCAAACTTGACGCTTTTCAGCGAAAATGTCCATTTATGAAACCAAATGCGTTCACGTGAATCAACGTTTTTGTTTTAGGGAAGGTGAGTCTTTGGTCGGGTGAGTTCAAGTGTTGGTCACAAACAGCTTTCCCAGGAATTAGACAGGTCCATCCTAGCCCAAAGACAGACTAGGTGCTGCGGTTGTTGTTTCAGGTGCATACAGGCCAAACCCTTTAGACACGTCTTCCCTACATGTTATGTAAGAGATTTGAAATCAAGAAGAAACACTTGAAAAACAGCATGGATCTGTTCTCAGTGAGATGTTTTTAGTGGAAAATAAACATAAATAGATCTAAAGATGTTTCTGGAACTTTTACCATCATTCTGCTGTGGAAAGTCAGCACAAATATTCAGTGAAAACTTTAAAAAGCTGCTTAAACCTTCATTATTTTATAGTGGGCCTGTCTATATTTATAAAATCAGTTGATTGTTTAAAGTAACTGTAACTAAAGTTACTCAGAGCCATTGTAGAAGGTCCAGTCTGAGTTAAGCTGTGGTCGCCGGAGAGGAGCTGAGAAACAGCATTGAAGCTTTTGCTGTTTGCTTGTTCACGTTTAATTCAAATAGAACATATAAGACATCATTTATGTAATAATTGTATGTATATTTAACTGTCGTGTTAGAGATAAAAGACAGAAAATATAAAAAAAAAATACATATTAACCATATCTGGTGATGTTGAAGCTCCACGTCCCACAGTGAGCAGTCTCTGTCCACGTGTGGGATCTGCTCGTCCTACTGAAGAATGATTACAGTCATTTGGAATATTTTCAGATGTTTTTATGTTTGGTGTTTAGTGAATTAGTTTCATAATAATAGTTAATTATTATATGATGATCCCTAATCATGTTCTGATTAGTTATTTCGGTTTATTATATTTAGCTCTCTTGAACAATAAAATAAAAGTATATAAATGTCAGAGGTCACTCCAAAACCCGCTGTAGAATAGATGCACGTCTGCAGCACGCGAGGACCTCGTTTGAGGGGAGTTATTTTAGTTGTCACTAATCCGTGGCTATGAAAAATAGATGCATGTAAACTAAAAATACATATATTTTGTTCTTCTATGCGCGCGGTTTGCATTTTTGTACCACGTGGCTTCACGTATTATTGCTACTGCCTCGCTGTCCCGGATGTGACGTAACCCGACATGAAGTGGAAAACAAATTTAAAACATCATATGAGTGTTTAACAGTTGATTAGTTCTTTACGATAGAGTCTTAATTTTAGTTTTACAAGGTCTTAAAAAGTCTTGAAAAAGTCTTACATTAAATTTTGAGATTCCTGCATGTAGAGTAGAAGGAGTCGCCGCTCGTCTGAGAAAGGTGCTGGATCAAAAAGTGGAATAAACAAAACAAGAATCCGCACACTTCAGTCTGCGATGTAGGAGTTTATTGGTCAAGCTTTCGGTCAGGATGAAGGTCTCTGACCAAAAGCTTGACCAATAAACTCCCACATCGCAGACTGAAGTGTGCAGATCCTTATTTAGCAGATTCCTGCATGTACCCTGATATTATTATGCTGATATGACCCCCCCCCCCCCCCCCCCCACACACACACACACACACACACTATATTGAAGACGTGACCTGACCAGATGACCTCATGTGACCTCGTGTGTATTTGTGTTTGCAGAAAGTCCTTCAGCTCAGATCTGATGAACACATTTTTAAATTCATCAAATCAAAGTTTGCTTTGGGCTCAACCAGGTATGGATGCTCACACACACACACACACACACACACACACACACACACACACACACACACACACACACACACACACACACACACACCCATACAGATACACACACACACACACACACCCATACAGATACACACACACACACACACACCCATACAGATACACACACACACACACACACACACACACACACACACACACACACACACACACACACAAACCAGTGGTACCCGACCTGTTTTCCTTGAGGACCCCTTGCCTGTGTCCGGGCCGCCTAACTCCAACCCACATAAAGACATTTACGACACATTCCTGAACTTTGTGGATATAAGTGGTGGCTCTGTCGCCCTCTAGAGGCTTGCTGCGTAACGTCACTTTCATAAAATAAAATCTCTGTCGCACATAAATGCCATGTTTACTGGCTGTTTTCCAACTCGCGTGCTCAAACAAACACATTAAGTGGCGTTTCAGCTTTAAATAAAGTTTTATGAGGACTGTATAACAAATTTATGCCCGACCAAAAACAACCCCGGTGAAATCATTTATTTGTTACCTATCCATTAGCAGCACGGCTAGGTCAGAGTCCGTAGCACATGCCGTCAAGAAGATCTCTCCACCCAGGAAAAGCCGTCCCAATATTAACTCTGGTCTTTTAAAAATATAATCTTGGTAATCTCCCAACCTTAGTTCAGACAAAATTATGGGGACCCCCTTGGGGGTCACGGACCCTAGGTTGGGAACCACTTTAATCATTTTTTTTTTGTTTACTGCTGCATAAATATTTGATTTTAAATCTTCTTCAAAGACATTAAAAGCTAATATATGGAGCCATTATGGATTTTATCGGCTGAATAGAGGGCAAAAATCAGTCTTTGTCAGACACGGGACCTGCTTGTCAACCACACCCCTGTAGCGCCATTTTGGGTGTATAGCCTAATTTATACTTCTGCATTGGGACAGAGCAAGCTCCCACAATGCGGGTCAAAAATTGAGGCAAACGCGGAAGTGAAATAAATTGCAGTTCCACCCTCATCCACTAGGGGCTGGTGTCAGAAGCGAGCAAATCCTCATTGACTCCCATGTTAAAAATACCAATTTCACAGCAGAAATAAACATGTTTACAGCCTGGTACCAAAACATGTTTTTGGTTTAAATGATCTAGTTTACACTCATGACAACTCTGAGGGGGGTGAATTTTTTTCTCACTCTTCTGTTTAAGTGTATTAAAAGCCTAAAATTCTGTATAATTAATGAGCATCAGACCCACGTGACCACAGAGCTAGCTCCGTGGAAAGGCCTCAGTAGAGCCTCGGTCTGGCCTGGAAACTGTTCCGGGATTTTGAGTCTCTGTGTGTGTGGATTCTTGTTTGGATATTTTTTGTGCAATTGTTGGACAAAATGACTTGCTGTGGCATTAATTGCACTAATAGAGCGTCCAAGGAGTCTCCACTTCATTTTTTTTCGGGAAGTAAAATTATATTTATGTATTTTAGGTCACTGCCGAGCTGAGCTTAGATTTTAACATGTACTGTTTAACCATGAAATTTAAATGTAATAGGGTAAAACCCAGTGCATTTAACATAATGCTGTACTTTAGAAAATGGGTTGAAATATAACATGTTGGTGGAGCTGGGTTCCGACTATCGGCTTGTGGAGCTCTCGGGAGACCTCGGTTTTCCACCCGGTTCTCTCCTCCCCGCAGCTCGGCACATCTCTGTCTGATCGCGGCTTCTGTCTGCAGCGCGGGCAGCCGGCTTGTGGAGGTCTCGGAGATCTCTGTGTTCCACCCGGTTTTACCCAGCGATCAGCCCGGCGTATCTGACTCAGAAGCTCTGGTGTTGTGCACAGTTAACTCCAGTTGTAGCTAGGTTGCTACCTCCATTAGCTTAGCTCCCACCTCCGCGTTAGCTTTGGGTTAGCTTCAGGTTAGCTTGTAGCTAGTTCGACCGAGTGTCGTCAGTTGATCCCAGCCTTACAGCCCCACCCTCAGCTCCTCCTCTCTTCCCTTTTGTGGAATTATCTGGGCTTGACGGAACCTGTGACACGGTCAAAATGGCGGTGGTGGCCACCTCCCATTTTTCTTCAAAAACGTGTTATTGGAGCCTATGGAAACCCATTGTCCATATATTTATATGTCGATGGGACAGAGACACGCGACGCCTTTATCCGTCCTTGCGTGTCTGCCGGAGAGCCCTCGCAAGGACGGACGAAATCCAGCTCTCTTTTCTAAACATCCATCTGATGAGACGAAGAAAGCAAGCTACTGATTGGTCAGGACGCCGCTGTCGTCTACAGCGCCACCATTGTGCCCTCAAAAACACGAAGAGAGCAGAGGACATCTATCAGCAGACACAGAGCAGCTTGAAGAATCCCTCGCAGCAAAACTCTCAAAATATGAACTTCTTATTCCCCCGTGACCAGAGCAGTGAAAAGATGCGCAGAAAGCGTTTGATTCGTCGACGGAAATGACAGGAAACATGGGTTTAGAGGTGGAGGAGGATGAGAGACAAATTTGTCCGTGTTAAAAAGTTATAAAACACAACATAAACACAATAGTAAATTAACTTTCTTGGACCGGATATGACAGGATACCCCAGAACAGCGCTACGCCCTCTGTTGTCCTGAGAGGGAATTGCTTTGCAACAGTCCCCAGGAGACGAAGAAGTATGAGGGTAAAATGTCTCCATCCATCCGTGCGAGTCCCTCCCTCGTGGAGCAGATGGAGGAGTATAAATTAGGCTTATGACTTGCATTGCGAGGATAAACTTCAACCAAAGTTGCACTCAGCACACAAGAGTGAAAAGAATGGATAAAGATAACAAGGACCAACGCATCCCTCACAGGGATTAACTTGCGAAGGAGGCTAGAGATCGGAATTTGTAGGAAATTGTCTGCAATCGGCACTGTAGATCCCTATGACCTCTAAGGAAACAAACGGAGCTCAGGTGTTTCATTACTGCTGAACGTATATCACTTGAGTAAGTGTAGTGCTACTTAAACTTCTTCATAATCAAGTAAAAGTAAAAAGTAGCCGTCCAGAAACATTCCTCCACTAGCGCAGGTGCTGCTCCACGCTGGAATTTCCGAATGAGTCCAAATAAAACAATTTATTATTAATATAAAATACAAGCAGGTACATAAACAATACAGTCAGAGGTTAGCTAGACATGTTTGTTTTCATTTTGACCGACAGTAAAAACAAAAAGGCCATGATCGTTTCCTTTCGTCATTTCTCAAATAATAATAAATAATTCACAATTAATTTTCCTTCATTTTTTTTAATATTTAGTCTGAACAAGCTGACCAGCGTGTCCAGCAACATATTATTGTTTTAATTAAACAGACTCGTTCTGCAGCCCTTCACTCTACAGGGGTGTACCATTTTCTGCAGGTTTATAAGCTCTAAACACACAAAACGACTGGTGCTTCCTTTGTTTATACACCTAGCTATCCCATCATGCAACACGCTACAGCACCCGATACGCCACCTGACAAGGACCTATACGTTTTCACACACACACATTCATACACACATGCACATGTGCACACGTACGCACAAGTACACATGCATGCATGCATACACACACACATATAAGGCCCTGTCCACACGTAGCCGGGGATCTGCCAAAACGCAGATATTTTTCTACGTTTTGGCCTGTCATCCACACGAAAACGGAGTTTTTTAAAAACTCCGGCCAAAGTGAAGATCTGCGTTTTCTCCGTTTTGGGTGTCTGCGTGTGGACAGACAAAACCGGAGTTTTAAGGTCTGCAGCGTCACTTTCCGCGACAAAAAAAAATGCTGACATCACGTGTGCGACCTGTGTTTACACTAGCCGACAGCATGGATGCCCTCAGAGCTGCGCTCTGTCACTACCCGATCCATCAATTGTCCAAGCGCTTTCTGCTTGTTTGTTTTTGCAAGCGGAATTACTGCTCCTTGCGGAAGACCACAGACGAAGGACGAGGTTAAGAACGGGGGAAGTACTGCCGCCTACAGGTCTGGCATGTCCTTAACAACGTATTTATCCGGGTACGTGTGGATAGAGTTTCTTTTTAAAACGAGGTGGTGTGGATGCAAGTTTTTGGAGGGGCGGATATTCGTTTTTAAAAAAACCCCGGCTACGTGTGGACTAGGCCTAAGAGTTGGACTTGATCCAGAGTGACTACATTATTCACCGTGCACCAGATTCACAGCACCTGCAGTATTAATGTGTGTGAATAACAGATTACACCACTGGACCACCCATCGATCAGTGTGTGTGTGTGTGTGTGTGTGTGTGTGTGTGTGTGTGTGTGTGTGTGTTGAACAGCTCAGCCACAGGGTGGCTGCTCAGGGGCAACAGATAACACAGCTCCCTACGCCATGCTGCATAACTGCTGCTTCAATAATTCAGGAGGCTGAGGGGAGTGCTGGCCTCACTCTGCCTCACCCCTGCTCCCATTTCCCTCCCTCTCTTTCACTTATTTCTTCCCCCCAACTCTTTCTTTGTTCCATCCCTTGAGTCTCACTCTATTTTGTGTGAGCTGACTTCTCAGCTGAGGAATTTATCCACATGGCTGTTTATCATAGGCAGTATTGTTCTACTGTGCCAAAGATTTCCTCAAAGACAAACCAACATGTTTACACCACAGTAATGCGATACAGGAAGTGGATTCATGGCTGTAGTTTAAGACCTTTTCACCCATTCACATCTGTACATTTACTATGAAACAATCCAGAGTTTCTGTAAGAGATCTAATGGCTGTTTATCTGTGAAGTAAGCTCTGACTCTGGATCTGTGCACTCATAGGGAGCCTAGCTCTCCTCCCCTTCTGGTTGGCTCCTGGGTTCCTGGACCAAAAAGTAAATTAATGGAAGCGAACGGGGCTGTGAAAGCTTTTCTCTGATCTGCTTTGCTTTACACCCTTAATCACACACAAGTTGTACTTCAATTTAAATGATAAATGATTGTGTGTTTTGACTATGTCTGTCACGTGATTTGAGATTTATTCCATCCATTCATTTTCGGCCACTTATCGTGAGGGCAGTAGCCTAAACCAGGAGGCCCAGACTTCCTTCTCCCCAGCTACTTGGGCCAGCTCCTCGGGGGGAATCCTAAGACGTTCGCTGGCCAGCCGTGAGACAGTCCCTGCAGCGTGTCCTGGGTCTTCTTTTAGGTCTCCTCCCAGTTGGACGTGCCCAGAAAATCTCACCGGGGAGGCGTTCAGGAGGCATCCTAGTCAGATGCCCGACCCACCTCAACTGGCTCCTCTCAATGTGGAGGAGCAGCAGGTCTCCTCCGAGCCCCTCCCATATGATCGAGCTTCCTATCTCTAAGGGAGAGCCCAGCCACCCTGTGGAGATAACTCATTTTGGCTGCTTGTATCCGTGATCTCATTCTTTCGATCACTACCCAAAGCTCGTTACCATAGGTGAGGGTAGGAACGAAGATCGACCGATAATTTGAGAGCTTTGCCTCCCGGCTCAGCTCTCTCTCCACCATGACTGATCAGTAAAACGCCCGCATCACTGCAGATGCACTCGTGAACAAGACTCAGAGATGCTTAATCTCTTCCACTTGGGGCAGGACCTCATCCCTGACCCGGAGAAGGCATTCTACCCTTTTCCGACGCATGTTCTTGGATTTAGAGGGCTGATTCTCATCCCAGCTGCTTCACACTCGGCTGCGAACTGCTCCAGCAAAAGCCGAAGATCACGTTCTGATGAAGCTAACAGGACGACATCATCTGCAAAAAGTAGAGACCTGATCTTCAGGCCACCAAATGGATACCCTCAACACCTCGGCTGCACCTAGAAATCCTGTCTATACAAGTTATGAACAGAATCGGTGACAAACGGCAGCCTTGGTGGAGTCCAGTGTTTGCGCCATTGCCAGACGCCTTTTTTTACTACAGCCGAAAAACTACAGCGTCGCGTGGTGCAGTCAGCATTTCCGTCTTTTTTCCGATTGGTTATTTTTGAGTTGCCTAGTCCCGCCCCCATGCGCCTCTCTGCCTTTGAGTAACCAGACTCTTTCTCTGTGCAGAATTAAACAGAGGACGATTCTGGCAGGCCAGGCTACTAACGGCCTGTATCAGAGAGCCTGGTACCGCATACTCCCGGAGTACCCCCCACAGGGCCTCCCAGGTGACGTGGCCTTCTCCACATCCACAAAACACATGTAGAATGGTTGGGCAAACTCCAACGCACCCTCCAGGACCCCCTAAGGGTATAGAGCTGGTCCAGTGTTCCAGGGCCAGGACGAAAACCACATTGTTCCTCCTGAATCTGAGGTTCAACAATCTGTGGGGCCCTCCTCTCCAGAACCCCTGAGTAGTTATTACCATGGAGGCTCTGTGGTGTGATCCCCCTGTAGTTGGAACACATCCTGCGGTCTCCCTTTTTAAATGGGGGGAACCACGACCCCAGTCTGCTGCTCCCAAGATTTAGATGTATTAGCTTGTAAAATTTGTATTTAAAAAACATCAAAGAATTAGTGGCATATCTGATGTCACCAGAAACTCTTCTTCCCCAGTGGCCAGATTTATGGTGGTTTTCTCTGCATTTAATGTTTCTTCTTTTGGATTGGAAGGAGGAAGTGAATCTCACTAAACTCTTCCTTTCTTCTTTTACTTGTCTGGTTTGACGATGTAAGTTTGGTGAGATGAGCATTTGGAGTACTTTGCTATGTACTCGCTAACAAAAACAAAAACCTGCCTGACAACAACAAGCACTTTCTTAGCATCAAAGTGAGTCTTTAAAATTCACATCATTTGTGAGATCCATATCAAACCGAATCAGAGAATAACGTTCATGCTCTCATCTAATCGAACACAAGCACACACACACATCATCAGGAGAACTGTACTGTTACTTTTATAGCATCTTTGAGTTACCATGGCAATGTCATTTAAAGTTAAACTTCAATTCAATTCAAGTTTATTTATATAGCACCAAATCACGACAAGAGTCGTCTCAAGACACTTCTCACAGTAAACATTCCAATACAGGTCAGCTCATTAAGCCAATAAGTAAAAAGTTTCCTGTATAAGGAACCCAGCAGGTTGCATTGAGTTACTGACTAGTATCAGTGTCTTTACAGCAATCCTCATACTAAGCAAGCATTTAGTGCGACAATGGAGAGGAAAACTCCCTTTTAATAGGAAGGAAACCTCCAGAGGATCCTGGCTCAGTATAAGCAGCCATCCTCCACGACTCACTGGGGATGGAGAAGACAGAGCAGACACACACACACACACACAATCACACAACAACTATACCAAGTAATATTTCTATGGTTACATTGTGATTTCTTAGTAAGTATTCTATGTACACTCCACCTCCCTCTACACCCCCACTTGTCCAAATTTAGGCTAACATCAGATTTTTACCATAGACCCTATCAAATAAAAATGTTTTAAGCCTAGTCTTAAAAGTAGACAAGGTGTCTGCCTGAAGGACTAAAGCTGGGAGCTGGTTCCACAGGAGAGGAGCCTGATAACTAAAAGATCTGCCTCCCATCCAATTTTTAGATTTTCTGGGAACGACCTGCAGTCTGAGAGCGAAGTGCTCAGTTAGGAACATATGGAACAATCAGATCACTGATGTATGATGGACCTTGATTATTAAGAGCTTTATATGTGAGAAGAAGGATCTTAAAATCTATTCTGAATTTAACAGGTAGCCAATGTAGGGAAGCTAAGACAGGAGAGATATGATCTCTCTTTTTAATTCTCATCAGAACTCTAGCTGCAGCATTTTGAAGACTTTTAACTACATTCTGTGGACTTCCTGAGAGTAATGAATTACAGTAATCCAGTCCTGATGTAATAAATGCATGAACTAGTTTTTCAGCATCACTCCTGGAAAGGATGCTTCTAATCTTAACAAGTTCCGAAGGTAAAGGAAATCCTACAAACCTGTTTAACGTGGGGTTTGAATGACATGCCCTGGTCAAAGAAGGTTCCTTACTTTGTTCTTGGAGATTAATGTAATGCCATTCAGGTCAGGTGATTGACTAAGCAATTTCCTTTTCTGAATGTCAGGTCCAAAGATGAGAACTTTAGTCTTGTCTTGATTTAAAAGCAGAAAGTTTTGCGTCATCCAATTTTTTTATGTCTTCAAGACAAACCTGTAATCTACCTAACCGATTAGGTTCATCAGGGTTAATGGATAAATATAACTGAGTATCGTCAGCTAAACAGTGGAAGTTTATCCCATGCTGTCTAATGATTTTACCAATTGGAAGCATATCTATAGTAAAAACCAGACTGAAATTCCTCAAACAGATCATTAGTGTTTAGATGCTCACATACTTGATTGACCACTATTTTCTCATGAACTTTGGATAAAAATGGTCAACTGGACCAAAACGGTTCAAACACAGATGAGGTTCTATAGTTACCTCTGATGCTGCCTCACTTACTGGGGAAGAAGAAATCACATTAGGAAAACATTTTCTGAGATAACTGCAGAAATGTGCATGGACCTCCAGGTTCCTGGTCATCCAGTACTTGGTAGTTTACCATCACATTTGATATTTTCTGTATAGGGTCAGGATGTGTGCACATGTTCTCCATGGAAACTGGCATTATTTTGGCAGAACAATGAAGGTACACATACGTTTTTCAGCCCCACCAAAGTGACATGAAGATGCTCCAGAGTCCCGAAAACAGAAGCTGCATTATTTACTGCGTGCTTTAATCCTTTTGTTCAGTATTTCCTGGCCTGAACCAAACCTCCTCCCAGAGATAAATACTAATTTCATTGTTCATAAGGATGGCTTCGGGGTTAGTTTCACATTAGAATTTTTCATAGAAACTGTAAAGCTGCAATTTGAGCAGTTATGAATGAATCAGCCTTTTTGGCTTCAGTCTTGTAATTCAGGATCTGAAATACAAATTGGCCCTCTAAAGAGATTATTGTTGTTCTGATGTTTCATTGGATCATTTCTAACAGTATATTGCTACTTGGTTCAACTTAGTGACGCCGTAAAACCAGAAACTAAACGTTTATGCATTTTCCTACATCAATTAGGAAATAAAGGATCAAAGCTCTATTAATTATTTCAGCTGCTTCTATTTTGCTTCTTATGAAATAAAGGTTGAAATTGTAGTTTGTGCAGAAACGTTGTTTTCTTAGCCCTTGTTTGGGTTTCCATAGTAGCTGATTTGCTACATGAGAAAACTGTCAGAACTGCTCTTTAGTTATTCAGTCAGAATCAAACCAGGGTAACAACCCAAGAGTAAATCATAGAGGCTCGGTCATTGGCTTCCTCCCTGTGTTGTTTTTATTTTGCTCCTCCACTTTCTCACCTCCTCTCTTTCCACACTCCTCTGCTCATGTTTCCAGGGATTTTGATGCCGGTCTGTATCTGTGTGAAGAGGCCTTTGGCCTGCTGCCCTTGGACACGCTGGAGCGTCTGGCTGGCACCCTGCTGTTATACCCCTACATGCTCACTGTGCTGCTGCTCTGTGGTACGCTAGCAGTGGCAGCACTGCAGAACCTCAGGTACGTGGTGTCTGCACGTCTGGCTAGGAGGGAGATGTAGCTACTTATGTAGAGAAAGGTGTACCCTGAAAATATCATGTCTACTGCTATAGTTCCAAAGCATGTCAGGCAGTAGTTTAGACTGCTCAAGCGAGTCAACTTCCAGTCTAGATAAATGAGCTGAGCTGGTTATTCCTTAAAGGGAAACAAATGTTTTTATTGAATTCACTGATTCATTGCAATCGGCAGCACACGTTGGTCATCACCTGATCAAGACCTCCACATATCAGCTACAGAAAAATACACGTTCATCAACGTCTACGCCAAGTAGCTAAATAAGTTTATTAAAGACATGTTTGTTTTATGTCTTCATTGCTAAATACATTCCATTCTCCAGATGATAGATCCAGCTGAGACTTCCTTCAGAAATGACTTAAATGTCCCTTGATTTGCCCTTTCTGAACACTCACTCACCGGCTACTAACGTGGCCAACACGACTTCGTCTCTCCCGATGAGCTTCGATCTCCCTGGAAGCTTTTCCTAAGGCGGAGATCTGTGATGCACTAAAGACCAGTTGGAAAGACTAACCTCTTGGAAACTAGATGAAGGCAGACCAAAGTTTACTGTTAAAGCCTCTTGTGTGATAGAAGGCCTACAGCAGGGTTCACCTTTGGATGCTGGCTGCAGAACAAGTTGTTGCTCGCTCTGTTAGGAAGCAGCTCACAGGTCGGTGATGGCGGTCAGTCTTCCTAACAGGGTATCCGCGGGTCCTTAAAAAGTCTTAAAAAGTCTTAAATTTACTTTTCCAAATTTAAGGCCTTGAAAATCCTTAAAAATGACAAATAATCCTTAAATCCAGTTTCCAAAGGTCTTAAATTACCAAAGACCCAATAAACAAGATTATTTTATTTCTATAAAAATTTTCGTGAATTTCTAGTTGGTGTTCAGCATTTTTTGTGTACGATATTGGCGTAAGCGGAACCGTACACATTCAGTTGGTTGTGAAAGGGGGCTATTTTTAGATGAGCACATTAGCTGGTTAAGCTAGTGGGAGCTTGCGCCATGGGAAGTGCAAGTTTAATGGTAACTGGATGGTTAATCCCACGTTCGCGACGTGGTCAGCACCGGATCCAGGCAATAGCTGGAAATTATAGCTTAAATTTAATTTTAAAAATAGCTTAAATTTGGACAAAGTGGCCTTAAAAAAGGTCTTAAAAAGTCTTAAATTTGGCTCCCTTAAACCTGCAGATACCCTGTCCTAAACATGCATGTGAGGTTAATGGCTGCTTCTAAATTGGCTGCTGGTGCACGAGTGTTTGTCTTTTAGTGTTGGGGTGAAGCTGGTGTAATGGATGGATGGTCAGAGGAGTTACTCAAGTGTGTATAATTGGAAGGTGAGAGGTCTTGTAAAAAATAATGGGATTTTTTTAGCTTGAAAGATGAGATCCGGATTTTTATCAGGAAGCTAAAACCCAGACGGGTCTTCGCTGTTCCCTTGTCTCCCTAATTTTGTTTCGTGCTTTGAAAAACAGAATAATCTGCCCATTTGCCAGTGGCACAAGGTGAGAGGCTGCATTGAACCAATCTCATTAGCATTTCAACTCGCCCTCTCCTGCTGGACGGTTGGAATACTAACCTCATAGAACAAAAGGCTATTTGCCAGTTCAGGAATTAATTTAATCCAGTATGCCCAACGTCACGTAGTGGGAAGAGCAGGATTTGATTTATATTCAAACAGAAGCCAGTGTCCGCCTGATTCGGTGCAGGAGGCCAAATCGTGGGAGTAGCATAATCGCCTTCAGGCCTCCCTCGTATTGTCTGTGTGCTGACTCCTGCAGACACAAACAGCCGTGGGTGTGCATCATTGCATGTCCACTTGTGTGCAACCTGCTAATGAAATCTGAATATGAGCTACTGAAATCAGAATAATCTGAATTATATATATTCCACCCACCTACCCTCCTGCCTCCCCACAAGCTTCTGGCTGTAATGTTTTATGCATCATCGTTGTCTTTTGTCTTATTGTGTTTGTTTTTTCTATCCAGCAGTCCTGGAGGAGGTCTGGTAGAAGAGAAGAGAGGAGCTGCGGAGAGAAGAGTGGAGGCTTTCCGCCCAGATGTGGCCTATAATCTGTTGCACACGGTGCTCTATGGCATCCTGGCTTTCAGCACTATGAGGTGAGATGTGAGCATGCCTCCAGCGTAGTATTTTTGTTGATAACTTAATTACTTGCGTATTATAAATTCAAATGTGTTATGAATCCATTTCTCACAGTGCCCTTAATGACTTGCTTTAGCTGCAATCAGAGCCAAGCTCCGTCTCCGACACCACTCACGCTAAAGCACAAACACATTAGACACCGTTGTTATTTTATGCAGCATGCATTGACTTTAGTTCTGTACGACAAAGTTTTTAGGCCACAAAAACTTCTTCAGATTTTTCTGTTCAGAATTTTGACTCACCACAAAAGTTCAGACGGGACAACCTTGACTCCATGCAACAAAAAGCTCAGTTCATCTCAATCGGTGGTGTCCGATCCAGGCCCTAGATGGGTACGTCCCTAAATAACCAAATGTTCATCAGTTCCAACACACCAAATATAAATCAGTGGGTTGTTGACAGGTATCAGTAGCACTTGAAGCATTGAAGGTGTTTAGAGCATGACAACATTTAAAACACGCAGGATAATGACACTCAAGGATAAGTAACGGACACCATTGGTCTAGACCAGGGGTATTCAGTTCTGGTCCTGGAGGATCAGTACCCAGCACGTTTTAGGTGTTTCTCTGCTCCAACACACTAGATTCAGTGGTTAAATCACCCGTGCAGCAGCTCATCAGGCTCTGCTAAAGTCTGTTAGTCACCTGCTGAGGGAAATCAGGTGTGTTGAAGCAGAGTTAAAACTAAAATGTGTCTGGGACTTGGAGCTCCCCCCGTCTCCTGCACATCTTTGGGGGGCGGATCTGTGGTCCCTCACACTCTCTGTTGGACGCTCCTATAGAGAAACCTTAAATAAACAAGCGCGTGTACACACACAGGTGCTCACATGGTGCTCTCAAAAGTATGGGCTTGGGCACGTTCAACACATGTCTTAAGGCTGTGGTGGGCACTTAATGCACTGTGATTTATTATCGTGATTCTTCAGTTAATGTTGATTATATATTTCATCATCAAGTTGACGCAGTGATAGCTTGATCTTGTTGTATTGTTGTTGTGTCCCATTTTTTTGTCTTTTTCTGCAGGTCTAGAAGCAGACTCTTGTTCATTATTGTTTATTTTTGTGGAACCCCCCACCCCCTCCCTCCCCTCTCTCCCCACCCTTTGTCTTTTCCTTTCTCTTTCACCTCTGACTCCGTGTCTGGTCGGAATTACAAAGCATTCAAAAACAACAACAATAAAGTTTTAAGTATCAGGCGTGACATTAAAAGCAGACGCTTTGATGCTCCACCTGAGAGTAAATCTGTAAGGCTTGTCACCAGCATTCAGACATCAATTCTGCTTGCTTCACAGCCAGACAGGACATGGTATAAAAATAAATAAAATGTGCTGGATACCAGCCCTTCAGGACCAGATTCTAGATTGTTTGGATCTTCTGCTTTATTTTTAAGGAAAAATCATCACTGGTGGTATTTACTCCCCAACACCTATGCCATGGGAGACACCATCAGGGGCAGATCTTTTGTACGTTCTTGCTGTGATTGTCTTCAAATTCCATTTTTTCTTTTTTAAACACAGAAAAGGTTTTTCTTTACCTTGCTGACGTTTCGTTTGTGGCTGCAAACATCCTCAGAGCTGACGCTGATGGTGGCGTCACTTCCTACTCCGTTTATCCGCGGGCATTAAGAAAAACATGAAAAAATTACTGAAGCCACTACAAGAAAAAGGCAAAATAACAGAAAAATGTACAAACACTGGATTCCTACAGCAACCATAATACCAAGAATCTACGGAACTCCAAAAATACACAGACTAAACACCCCACTTACACCAATAGTAGACAGCATAGGTACACCAACATACATCATGGCAAGAGAAATCAGCAAAATCATCAGCCCGTTATTTGGTAACACAGACCAACACTGCAAAAACAGCATAGACCTGGCAAAAGAACTAAAGGAGATTACAATAGAAGATAACGACATACTCATCTCACATGACGTCACATCCCTGTTCACAAAGACACCAACCCAAAAAACCATAGACGTAGTAGTTAACAGAATCAGACAGGACAAGACTTTACACAAGAGAACAAACCTCACAGCAGACGACATAGCACAACTGATAGGACTGGTAGCTAACTCCACTTACTTCACATACGACAACACAATATACAAACAACTGGAAAGCTTCGCCATGGGTAACCCGTTATCAGCCACCCTGTGCCAGTTTTTCATGGAAGACCTGGAACAAAAAGCCGTAGCCCCCCCCCAAACTGCAAAATAAAACTATGGAAACGCTACATAGACGACATACTGGAAATCATACCAAAGGGACAAACAGAAACACTAACACAACACTTGAATAACATGGACGACACGGGCAGCATAAAGTTCACTTATGAGTCAGAAACAGAAGGCAGCATAGCTTTTATGGACGTGAAAATCACCAGGCAGACCGACGGGACCCTAAACATAAACACATACAGGAAACCAACACACACAGACCAATTTCTATCATGGACATCAGAACACCCCACCATACACAAAATGTCAGTAATCAGAACATTATATCACCGAGCAAACATGATAACTGAAGAAAGAGACCGTAAACAAGAGGACAAACACATACAACACGCTTTTAAGACCTGCGGATACCCGACATGGGCTATAAACAAAGGAAAACAACAAACAACAACAGAAAGAAAAGAACAACCAAAGCAAAGAACCAGAAACCCAGAAAGACAAGAACCAGAACCAGTGATAACCCTACCATACATCAGAGGCATAACAGAAAAAATAAGAGCAACAATGAAAAAACACAACATAAACACACCAACAAAACCATACACAACAGTTAGAAACAGACTAGTGCACCCAAAAGACAAGATACCAGCTGGACTTAAATGTGGAGTCGTTTACGAAATCCCATGCAAACTCTGCAATAAAACATACACAGGAGAACCCGGACGCCAACTCAACACACGAACAATAGAACACAGAAAATAGAAACAAGTCAAAAACACACAAGAGCAGCAAAACAAGAAGCAGAAAGCACAATAAAGAAGTCAGCCGTAACAGATCACTGCACAAGAGAACACCATGTAATGGACTGGGACAACACAAGGATCATAAACACTGAACAACAGAAATACAAATGATGGATCAAGGAAGCTATAGAGATAAGGAGACGTGGATGTGGGACCATGAACAGAGACGATGGGGTTTACACGTTGGATCGTGCATGGGACTGCATCGTCGGAGAGAGGAGAGCGGGCAGTAGAGGGCGACAACGTCCTCTGCTGCCCGTGGTTAAACGGAGTAAGAAGTGATACCACCATCAGCGTCAGCCTGAGGATGTTTGCAGACGCAAATGAAACGTCAGCAAGGTAAAGAAAAACCTTTCTGTGTTTAAAAAAGAGCAAAAAAGGGGCAGATTTTCCATGTTGCTCCTTCTCTGAGAAGCACCGTGGTTTGTGTGCCAGTAGTGGATCACTGAGCAGCGCTGTGATGCTTTATCGTGAGCATTGGCCCAACTAGTCTGGTTTTGGACACAGAGAAGGCTTACATCTGTGTCCCCTGTGGACTTTTGTTAAAGTACTTTAGGAGTATTGGCCCAACCAGGACTCCTGCTGGTTCTTGTACAACCAGACTGTGAGTTTGGTTCCTACTGACGATAAGACGTCAGTCTGTTCTTCCAGGCTTCTCCTCTGTCACACATTCTGTTCCTTACTTTTAGGGGAAGTGACAGTAAAACGTAATCGACATGACAGACATGGCCCGAGTTTAGCTCTAAACGATTACAACCCAACAAAGAAGAAGAAAACTCGGGTTAACCGGGTTAACTCGGGTTTCTCGTGGTGGTTAGTTGGCTTCTTTGCTGATATTTTGGGGAAGTGTCTTGTTGTGAAAACCTCTGAATAGAAGCAACAAACTGCATTATTCTGCATAACTCAGAACGCCAAACCTGGCTCAGTAACAAGAAATAGTGAGTCTGCAACTGTAGATAGTTTGTGCACACATGGTGTGAAGCGAGCTCAGCTCGTAATATACACGCCTCTCAAAAACTAAAGAGAACAGTAAAAAAAGACATCCTAGATCAGAATGAGTGAAACATTCTTATTAAACGCTTCGTTCTTTACACACGTGGAATGAGCAGACAACAAAATCACACAAACATTATTAGTGAAAATCTGATTCATCAACCCATGGAGGTCTGGATTTGGACTCAGCCTGAAAATGGAAAAAAACACACTACAGGCGGATCCAGCGGTGATGGAATCTCCTTAAAACAAGTTGTGATGAGGCTCAGTAGTGTGTGTGGCCTCCATGTACCTGTACTGTATGACCTCCTTACAACACCTGAGCATGCTCCTGATGAGGTGGTGGATGGTCTCCTGAAGAATCTATTCCCAGACCTGGACTAAGGCCTGGACAGGCTGTGGTGCAGCGTGGTGTTGGTGGATGGAGCAAGACACAATGTCCCAGATGTGCTCAGCTGGGTTAAGGTCTGGGGCGCAGGCGGGCCAGGCCATAGCGTCAGTGCCTTCGTCTTTCATGAACTGTTGACACACTCCAGCCACACAAGGTCCTGCATTAGGAGGAACCCAGGGCCAACCGAGGGGTCTGAGGAGCTCATCTCGGTTCCTAATGGCAGTCAGGCCAACTCTGGTGAGCGCATGGAGAGCGGTGGGGCCTCCAAAGAAATGCCACCCCACACCATTACTGACCCACTGCCAAAGCGGTCATGCTGGAGGATGTAGCAGGCAGCAGAACATTCTCCACGTCGTCTCCAGACTGTCACGTCTGCTCACTGTGAACCTGCTTTTATCTGTGAAGAGCACAGGGCACCAGTGGTGAACTGGCCAATCTTGGTGTTCTCTGGTGAATGCTAAACATCCTGCATGGTGCTGCGCTGTAAGCACAACCCCCACCTGATGGGCTCTCATACCACCCTCATGCAGTTGGTTTCTGACCGTTTGAGCAGACACCTGCCCATCTGTGGCCCACTTTAGATTATTTTGCAGGGCTCTGGCAGTGCTCCTCCTATTCCTCCTTGCTCAAAGGCAGAGGCAGCGGTCCTGCTGCTGGGTTGTTGCCCTCCTACGGCCTCCTCCATGTCTCCTGATGTTCTGGCCTGTCTCCTGGTAGCACCTCCATATTCTGAACACCACGCTGACTGAGACAGCAAACCTTCTTCCCACCGCTCACATCGATATGCCATCGTGAACGAGCTGCTCTACCTGAGCCACGTGTGTGGGTTGTAGACTCTCTCTGATGCCGCGGCTAGAGTGAAAGCACCGCCAGAATTCAAAAATGACCAAAACATCAGCCAGAAAGCCTAGGAAGTGAGAAGTGGTCTGTGGTCACCACCTGCAGAACCTCTCCTTTATTGGGGGTGTCCGGTAATTGCCAATAACTTCTACCTGTTGTCTTTTCCATTTTCACAACAGCATGTGGGACTGATCGTCCATCAATGGGCAGTTTGATTTCACAGAAGTGTGACTGACTTGGTTACAGTGGGTTGTTTAAGTGTTGCCTTTATTTTGTGTGTATGCGTATTAATACTGAGACTAAACAGCTGCATAGAGCCGCAAAACACCTGCTTGTGTGTCTAATTGAGAACAAATCCATCCATCCATTGTCTGAACCCGCTTTGTCCACGTAGGGTCGCCCGGGGGGGCTGGTGCCTATGTCCAGCGGTCAATCAGGCGGGGTACACCCTGGACAGAGAGCCAGTCCATCGCAGGGCTAATCGAGAACAAATGTTTTATGTAAATGTTCTTGTGGCCTTGTGAGTCAAGTTTTAGCCAGTTTGGTGCTGGTAGTAATGGGAGCACCAGGTTAAGATCAACCGTGGATGAAGTGATGCTCCCATCATGCCTTGAGCCGGCAGGGACCGTGATCTGGGCTTGCTTCAGGACCTCAGCTCTCAGCTCATCAATGTTCTGAGCCCAAATACAGAAATGAGGTCAGAACTGAACCAGCAGGTATTTACCGGCAGCTGATTTAATTTTCCCTTGTGGCACAGACGTGCCGGATGATGGTGACCAGACTTATCAGGGTTAGGTTGTCAAAGATTGATTCTGAAAGATGACGCATTATTTTCTACACAGGAATGTGGTTGTTCCAGTCCAGAACCTAATCCCGTTTAGGAGCTCTGCGCCCCGCTGGAGGAGACTATGAAGCTGCCCAACTCGTTCACCATCAACAGAACCACAGATAATCTGGTCCAGGTTCTACATCCTCATTGGCTCGTTGAGACGGTGCTGATTTGTGATGTCTCTCTCGTCTCTCGTCTCTCTCTCTCGTCTTCCTCCGCTTATCCGGGTCCGGGTCGCGGGGGCAGCATCCCAACTAGGGAGCTCCAGGCCGTCCTCTCCCCGGCCTTGTCCACCAGCTCCTCCGGCAGGACCCCAAGGCGTTCCCGGACCAGATTGGAGATGTAACTTCTCCAACGTGTCCTGGGTCGACCCGGGGGCCTTCTGCCGGCAGGACATGCCCGAAACACCTCCCCAGGGAGGCGTCCAGGAGGCATCCTGACCAGATGCCCAAACCACCTCAACTGGCTCCTTTCGATCCGGAGGAGCAGCGGTTCTACTCCGAGTCCCTCCCGAATGTCCGAGCTCCTCACCCTATCTCTAAGGCTGAGCCCGGCCACCCTACGAAGGAAACTCATTTCGGCCGCTTGTATCCGCGATCTCGTTCTTTCGGTCATTACCCAAAGCTCATGACCATAGGTGAGGATTGGGACGTAGATCGACCGGTAAATCGAGAGCCTGGCTTTCTGGCTCAGCTCCCTCTTCACCACGACAGATCGGGTCAGCGTCCGCATCACTGCAGACGCCGAACCAATCCGCCTGTCGATCTCCCGATCCCTCCTACCCTCACTCGTGAACAAGACCCCGAGATACTTAAACTCCTCCACTTGAGGTAGGACCTCTCCCCCGACCCGGAGGTGGCAAGCCACCCTTTTCCGATGTCATCGCAGCTAAAGGGTGTTTTAGGGAATATTCAGAAACATGCCATCTTTTCCACCACACGATTTAATAATAAGCTCACATGTTGAGCAGGAGATGATGAGGTGTGGTCTCGACCAACGTGGCATCTCTGCTCTAGTAAATGTAAAACACCAGGTGAATACACTCACAAGAGTTGCTGCACACGTTTTGTTCGGTGGAAACTGACGCGCTTCCTCAGATCTGCTGATTAGGAGAGAGAGGCCAAAAGTGCTGGGAGCCGTTTGTTTCTGTCAGAAGCTCCTTTCTCCTCCCCTCGTCCGCTTCTTCACCACTTCTCATCGGAGCTTTGTCTCACCTCTTCCAGCTCTGTTCACTTTTTGTTGTGTGTTTGATCTGAAGTCTGTGTCGGTTATTATTTGGCTCTAAATCAAATCCAACCCTTTCTCCACCTCTAGGGTTGGGTTTAGGAGCTTCTCTAATCATGACTGAACTACAAGTTTTTGCTGTTTGCCTTTTTGTTGCAGACAAAATACGTAACTTGATTCATTCTGGTGCCTCTGTTGGTTTTTTTCCCAGAATGAAGTACATCTGGACCGGCCACATGTGTGCAGTGGCAGCTTATGGTGTGTGTGGGACTGAGGTGTGGACTCTGGTGCTCAGGGTTCTTCGCTGCAACACCAAAGTCCTGGTACGTGCTCACAGCAGCTCCAAACATGACTCTTTTTGTGTCTTTATGAATAAACTCGAGCCTCTAAAGGAAAAGTGCATTTTATCAGCGGTATTCTGAGCAACATCGATTAAAATAACTGATTGTTTTATTTAAATGTCTTTACTGTTCATTGTTTTGCCTTTAAATGTAACGTCCAGTCATCACTGATGTTAATTATGTAGAGCAGCGCTGTGTGCAGGTAAGGGCCATGGGTGTAGTTCTGCTCACTGCCACTAGGTGTCAGTGTGGCTACAACAAGCCAACAGCAGGGTGCAGAGTAGTGATGGTTGGGTGTGAGGTGCCATTGAGCTCTTCTGATTTTCTCAGCTTAGGTTTGTTGTTGCTAAAATGTTTTCATTTCTCTTTTTTTGGCAGCTGAGGCTTTTCAGATACGCGGTTCCTCTGCTGATCTTCTGCTGGCTGTATTATAAGGTTGGTGTTTCTGCTCATCCTCGTCCTGGCGGCCTCAGCACTGAGCTGAGGTCAGTTTGTGCAAACCCTTAATGAAAGCTCCGAGGAAGGCTAAAAGGCCCAAATGGAAGCTGAAGCACAAGAAGCTGATGTGTTTTGCTGCATTTTGGAAATGAATTTAGAACTTGTGGAATTTGCATTTTCAGCTTTTTGACTTGATTCATTCTAACAGAGTTTTTCCTTCATTTTCTCCCAAGTTCTGGCCCAAGCTGATGGAGGAGCTGTCAGAGCTGAGGGAGTTCTATGACCCAGACACCGTGGAGCTTATGACCTGGATTAGGTACACACACACACACACACACATAGAGCACACATGTTGATGCAAATTTGATTATCTTGTTTTGTACATCAGCCTTCTCCCTTCCTGATGTCTGTGATTAGTGTGTGTTGGTATGTGAGCACGCTGACGCCAGTAAGCGGGGGAGTCTGACTGATTAGTGATGAGAGCTGATGGGACGCCATGAATAAGACATGGGGCTGCTGGAAAGGCTCCAGCTGTTGGCGGAGCTCCAACCCACCTCAGGGTCTGATGGCAGCAGAGGTGGAGCTGTCATTTGCAACGGTTCCAGACTTGTTGCTGTGTGTGTGTGTGTGTGTGTGTGTGTGTCATTGTTGGTTTGATGCTGGGTTTGTTCAGTCACAATAACTGATGCTATGAAACATCGCGCCGGCGGTTTGCTCACTTATCTTTTAGTCCGTCGATGGAGTGAAGCGAGTTGAACCGGAGCTGGCGCTGGGGTCGGTGGGTCTGGATGGGACCCGGGTCAGAACCCTGCTAGGTAATCTGATTAGCAGCACAGTCACAGGCTCTACAGAACATCAGATGGAGGACACAGACGGCATAAGGAACATTCATCCTCCAGACCCGTCCGCTTGACCAGACCAGCTGCATGCCCGGCTCACTCTAACTCGTTTAAAGCTTTAATTGCTCATAGGAACAAAGAAAAAGCGGATTTATTTCAGCCGGACTTCAACCAGCCACTGAGGGGGCAGGATGATGAAAAATACACGGCATCACGTTAGGATTCGTGGCTCGTGAGAGGAATCAGAACGTTTACATCCTCATGCCGTTCCCATTTTCTCACATGCACGAGGGCAACACGCTAACTCCAAAACAGTAGCCGGGATTCAAACCTGCAGCCTTCTTGCCGTGAGACAACAGTGCGACCACCTGAGCCAACTTAGACATGGATTATTTAAAGAGCAAGTCACCCCCTACCAGAGTCTAATGCCACTCCCACTTCATGTTTGAAAAATGCAACAAATGCTGTTGCCTGGCAGACCGAGAGGGCGGAGCTGCTAACAAATACACACACACACAGGCTCATGACAGCATTGTGACATCATAATGTACCAGTTTACATCATAGCATACTTCTTAGCCAATAGCGGTGGCAGATTTAAATTCAAATACAGTGCAGAGTTTTTACCTGACAACGGCACAACACTGCCAGTTTTAGGCAGAATATTTAAATTTTAACTAAGATGCACTGAAGTGCCAAATTATTGACGACACGTGTCTGCAGCACGATTAGACACTCGTTTATTTAGTTTATCAGCAAAAAAAAATGTTTATTTGGGGGTGACTTGCTCTTTAAATGGATCACAAAAGTGTTGAAAGTCAGTCATTTGTTTTTTAAAACATTTGTTAAAGAT